GAAATTTTCATTTAAGTATTCTCGTCCAAGACTTAGTTATTGGAACTATGAGATGTGTTCCAACTTCATTTTATGAAAGCACCAGATTCAGATTTGATTTCATTATCACGTTCTGCGGAAATGACAGATACACCTTTCTTTAATACAATGCGATATCTTCCCTATAATGAGGAAGTAGCCACTAATCCCCCGATCTAATCGTCTTGAAAGCGATTTCCCTGCTTTTGAATTTGATTTGTGAAGACATTTTTCTATCATCATCAATGTTAGGCCATATTTGGTGTGAGTGAATGGAATGAAACTGGAATGGAATACTTTTGTTTCCATTCTCTTGTTTGGTGTGTCATATTAAAAGTAGAATGGTCATTCCAAGGCATTCCAAAATAATGTCCATTTCATCAAAAAGGTGGAATGCACATTCCTCTTCTTAAGAGGTGGAATGACCATTCCATTTCCACTAATAATAAAATTTAAAAAAAAAAACAAAAAACAAAGACAAAAAATACCCTTTGCTTCGTTTCAAGTAGATCTACCACCAAGGTCTCTCTCTCTCTGCGATACCAAAAATCCTTCTGGATTCCTATTTCTGACAAATCTACCAACAAGGTTGCTCTCTCTCTACGACACCTCCACACTCTCTTTGTGACGGTACATTCTCTCTTTCCTTCTTTTTTCAGCGCTAACCTAGATTTCTTTGTCTTCATATATTTAGCGAATAATATATAAATATATATAATATGTATATATATAGACAATTTTCTCTCTCTAGATCTTTTTATATATTGTGTTTATCTGATTTGTGCTCTACCTGTATCCATACAGCTCGACCCATGTGTGTGTGTATATGTGTGTGTGTGTGTGTGTGTGTGTGTGTGGACAAACAGTTGAACAGGTACCACACACACACATACACACGCATATTAGGGCTATCAATCATCGTTTTTGTAACAAATATCGCAGTAGAACAATTTTATTTTCAGATTGTTGCTGATTGATTTATCTTTCTTGGCATGTTTTTCAACTTATAGAATAATTTTTTTCTTATTTGAGAGAGATTTTGGATTTGACTTATTTTTTTACCTATTTAATAAGTTCGGCAGCTGTTTTGGTAGTTTTGAATTTGTGTATCCTATAGGTTATTCTAGTTCCAGGGTTATGTTGGTGGGCCTTCTCCTTTTCATTTTTGGAATGATGCTCATCCTTCTTTCTTGTGTTTTTTTCAGATTGTTGCTGATTGATTTATCTTTCTTGGCATGTTTTTCAACTTATAAAATAATTTTTTCCTTATTTGAGAGAGATTTTGGATTTGACTTATTCTTTAACCTATTTAATAAGTTCGGCAGCTGTTTTGGTAGTTTTAAATTTGCGTATCCTATGGGTTTTTCTAGTTCCAGTGTTGTGTTGGTGGGCCATCTCCTTTTCATTTTTGGAATGATAATCATCCTTCTTTCTTGTGTTATTTTCAGATTGTTGTTGATTGATTTATCTTTCTTGGCATGTTTTTCAACTTATAGAATAATTTTTTTTCCTTATTTGAGAGAGATTTTGGATTTGACTTATTCTTTTACCTATTTAATAAGTTCGACAGCTGTTTTGGTAGTTTTGAATTTGCAGTAGAATCATTTATCTTTTGTAATTATTGCTGAATCTTTCAATATGTAATTCATTTATCTTCTTGACATGTTTTTCAATTTATTGAATTATTTTTTTCCCCTTTTGTATTTATATTTTATTGTTCTTAAAATTGTTTAATAAGTTTGATAGGACATGATAAACCAATAAGAACCTGTATTGGTAGAAATTGACACTGCGATTTTATGATTATTGTTGAATCTTTCAATGTTTAATAGATTCATCTTTCTGATTGTGTATAAAGAATTATGTTTCGCGTTTTAAATTAGGGATGGAAAGTGGACCAGGTAAAAATAAAAGAAAGTGGGTTGCGAAGAAGATATGAAACTTTTTGGCGCTCTTCTTGATTTACATAACACTGGGAAGTATAATGCTGATCGTGGATTTAAACCCGGTCATTTTCAAGCTGTGGAAAAAATACTTGCAAACAATTTACCAAGTTCAAGCTTAAAGGCAAACCCACATATTAAATCAAGAATGAAAACTTTGAAAACTCATGTTGATGTTGTCCATGATATGTTAAATGTTAGTGGATTTGGTTATAACGAAACGAAACAGTGCATGGTAGCTGAAAAAGCAATACAGGATGCCTATTTACAAGTATTTGTTTATACATTATTTTATTTAGATAAATCTTTTTACATTATGATGTGCTCAATAGTTATTTTTCTATGTTAATATGCAAAGTCATAAGAATGCTATAAAATTCAAAGATAAGTTATTTCCATACTACAAGGAGTTGTGCAAAATATTTGGAAATGATCGTGCTAACAATAAGGAAGCTACAACACCAAATAATGTTTTAGAAGCACTGGAAGATGAAGAAATTGATAAGGAGAAAGAGGTTGATAATGATAATGTTGAAGACCCTTTAGATGATATACTTATACTACCAATAGTTGGCAATACTAGTGAAACAAGTTCTAAAAAGAAGAGAAGCCAAAATGGTAAAAAAATGATATTAGAAGTGGTAAAAAGTTCATCAAGTTTCATTGGCTCTAAGATGGATTCATCTAATGAATACATTAGTAGAGTAATTGAAGATGCATCAGTGAAAGATATGAAATTCGAACTAAATGAAGAACTGAAGAAATTATCCGGTTTTAGCATGGTTGAGCGACATAGAGCAACTGTTAAACTTGCTCGTAATCATGACTTGCTAGATATTTTTTTTTACAATTGAAGATAAGGAGAAGGAAGCATGGGTTAAGGAAGTAGTTCTTTAAATGTTACTTAAACTTTTGGATACGGTTTTTCAATCATAACTTGCTATGGTTTTTGGATATTTATTAATTCTTATTAAGTTTAGACTTTTGAATATGATTTGGATGAACTATGTGGTTCTTTTTAGATATTTATGTAACTCTTATAATATGGTTTGTGAATGATCAATCTGTTTTTGCAATTAACATCACAGATTTAATGTTTTCAGCTTGTTATACTTTATTGGGTCCTTTTAATGCTTATGGTATTTTAGGATAAGTATGGTGTCTTGGTTTAATTATTTCTATTTTCTTGGCAGGCATGTGATGCAAATGTGTAAATTAAAGTATTAGTAATTCTTTTAAACATATATTAAATCATTTTTAACAAATATTTGTTACATCTTTGATACTATGGCAAGCAGGTGATACATTTTTCTGGCATTTTATAAGATAATTTTTTGAAAAAAAAAAAAAAATACATTACACATTATAAGATAATTGTATTATATATATATATATATACGCTAGTTTTATTATTTAATAAGAATATGTTACTCTGTTTTAATATAACAGATATAATACAAGCAGAGTATTTTGGAGAAACCAATTTATAAATCATTCCATTCCAGTTTTTTATTTGATCTAACCAAACATAGGAATGAGAATGATAATTTCATTCTCTGTTTGCATCCAAACAATGGAATGAGAATGCTCATTCCATTCCTATATGATTCCCGTTCCATTCTCACTTGCATTCCATTCTTGCCTCATTCCATTCCTGCGCACCAAACATAGCCTTAAGAGTTTATGATAATTAGGGTTTGCAGTGAGAGAAAGGGGGAGCGTGAAATTTGGGGTAAGGGCATTTCAATCCTTTTAGTTTTTTGATATTTTATAATAAAAATGATTTTAAAAAGTAGGGGTAAAATTGTCTTTTCAAGCATTTGTAACGGTGTCATTCACGGAAACGTCATTTGAGATCTAAGTGATAGTAATTTTCAAAAGACATTTCTATGTGATATTTGACCAAACCTTAGGGAGTGTTAGTGAAATTAAACCTTAAATTAAAAACTATAATTATTATTTTATAATTATAAAAATGTCTATTTATAATAATATTATTTAATGTTAGTTAGGTTATTTTGTCACTAGAGATCGATAACCTATTTATTAAATAATAATGTAAAATTTGATATTTCACAACCGGTCAATGTTAGTTAGGTTGTTATGTCACTAAAGATCGATAACTTATTTATTAAATAGTAATGTAAAATTTGATACTTCGCAACCGTTCACGTGTTTTGAAGTAACTTGATAAGTTTTATTAATTCAAAAGTTTTTTTTAATTTTATTGGGATTTTATATATGCTTTATCCCTATAATGAACATAATAAAACCAACACAATAATAATGAACACAACCAAAGTGTGAACTACATAATAATGAACACAACCAAAACAAAACGAGTGAGAAAATTACCAACACAATGATTCACAAGTACAAATCATATTACTTTCTTAGAATAATTCTAAACTTTGTAGTAATATAACTTTTGTTATCAAGATAATTACAAAAAAAATTTAACCAAAAAAAAAAAAAAAAGATAATTACAAATTGGTGAAAAAAGTCCTTCAAGACTTTTATGTTTGCATAAGACTTTATAAATTACAAATTGGTGCATGATATACTATTATAAATTTAAAGGGCAAAGATGAAACTGTCACAATTCATTGTTTTATAAATATTTGGGTAAAAGCAAAAAAAACAAAAAGTCATCTCAACTTTCCCCATTTTATAAAAAATCATTCTAAAACTTTTATTTTTGCACAAAACTCCTTTATAATATCTCAAAAATATACAGATAACCCCCCATTTGAACCATAACAATAATAATGAAATTAAAATTAAAATTATTTTTTACTAAGGAGATTTTTTATTTTTTATTTTGCAATCAACCCTGATATTTTACAGTCAGGCAATGAAATCCTAATATTTTAATTAGCCAGTACTTCATAATTTGATCCACATAATTGTTCACTTTCCTGAAAAACACACAAGTCCCAAAAGGTCACAAAAATGGGAGGCATAAGAAAAGTCACATAAAGTAAAACTAATTTGAAAAAATAAAATAAAATAAAAGATCATGCCGACAACATCCATGAATAAGCCAACAAACCCTAAATTCCAGATCAAACCAAACAAACACGATCCAATTGTTTTAAGAAAACACCAGAAACACCACATGTACGTTTTCTACAAATTTTTCAACAAAATACAATTAACAAAAATATATATATATATTGTTGCTAGCCAACTAATACATAAATTGCATAAATGATGCCCGGAATATATCCCAACAATGTCAGCAGCAAATCAATCCAGAACTCCACCTGCATTTTCATCACAATTTAACCACAAAATATTAATATTAATATAATCATCACTAAATAAATAAATAAATATAATATAAAAAATTAATAAAAATTCTAAGATAATATTACTCCACAGCCATAACGAAGGAAGACCCCAACAGGTGGTAGAAGTATTGCTAGGATCACTTCCAAGAACGTCTCTGAACCCATCACCGACCGATGCTGATCTTACTGCTAATTCTAGTGAGAGAAAGTTGTGATGATTCTAGAGAGAGAATATTGTGGGCGAATGGATCAGATTTGGTGTGGAGGAGGTGTTTATGAGAGAGAAGTAGGGGGGACAGGTGTCAGCTAATGAGATGCTAAGCACTCGAAGCAGACCACGTTGGGCTCTGTGTTATTACACGTGGAGTGGTTTGACGATGTTGCCCTGTCCCCTTGACTCGTGCATGCATGGAAGACCTGTGTAATCAATCACCACCGTCCATTTTGTTACTTTTATGTATCATCGTTTAGACTAATATTGAAAATAATAAAAACTAATATCCAAATATTAATTCAATTAACAAAATGTTTATTTTTAAATAACTGCTTTTGCTAGTTACTTGAAAATAGATTTTATTTTTTATTTTTGAGTAACCAATCAAACAAACTTATAATGATGTTTTGTTTGGTGTTTTTCACTAATTCTCTTATTTGCAACTGTTTTGATTTGAAATTGAACGTTAAAATGCTGGAGAGAGTTTTTGTTTTCCTTAATTTATTTTTCATGGATAGGTTGTAATAAATCACATGAGAGAAGCTTCCTACATCTGATTGGTACAAGAAAGAACACATATTTAACACAAGAACAGAAATCAGATTCCTCTATTATGTCAAACATAGCATATATAAGAACATTAAGGACTGTAAACAAAACCACATCAAGCTTGTGATTAACCAAATCAATGGAATCCAACAACATAATTTCAAATAGTGACTAATAAAGAACCATTGCAAACACAGATGCAATCAAAACATTGTATCACATATCAACTAGAAATCCTGGCATACATCAAATATATATCCAACAAACTAACATGCTCCCAATAAGTTGCAAATTAAGACATAAAAAGCTATACAAGAAAAGAATTGAAGAACTACTCTTGAAATACCTCACACCATTTTTTCCCTAATGGATTTGAAAAACTATAAGGAGATGGGTTGTTCTTGCTAGCCATGTACACATATATAGCCCCACTTGGGCCACTTCTTTCTCTAGATTTTTCTACTCTTATAAAAAATAAACAAATAAAAATCTATCAATTTATTTTTTTTCAGTTCTAGATTGTACACAATTTTTTTTTTTTTTTGGTATGCCATCCGGCCCATCCCTGAAAAATATCTAACTTAAGAGTTTACAAGAAATTGGGTAATATGTCAAGAATTTTCTAAGAAATTTTCTAGAATATTGCATCAAGTCTTTAGCCAAAAAAAAAAAAAATCAAGACCCTTCATGAAAATGGGAAACTAGTTCCTTCGGTTTTGCGGGTTGTTAATGTAAACATTTGCCAATGATCACTTCAAATTTTGGTGTTACTCCCTCATTATGATCTTGCAAATACAAATCCTTTTCATATATTTCTTGAAAGTAAATATGATTTTGAAGGAAAAAAAAACGATAGAACAAAGTTATTTTTCTAACCTTTGAGGAATGCATTACGAGTAATATATTTATGTATTATAAATATGGTACTCTAGATTGAAAGTCACTTGTTACTTTAACAAAGGATAATTTGGCCATCACACAATGATTCGATGTTAAAATGCAAGGGAAAGTTTCAATTACTTTTCTTTCATTTAAGTTTCATTTGACATGTGCTGATATTGATATTCAAATTTGTATCCAGTCATACATATTTGAAACCATACTGCTTTGAAATTATTCATAACATATCAATTTTTTTGACTCAAATTTATATCATCAAATTTATGACAATGGTATTGTAACAGAGAAACTAAAGCAAATTTTTGAATTTTTCAAAATAAATTTTTGTTACCAAATTTGATTTAGATTTCTATCCAAAACACTTTTACAACAAAAATATACCGTATACCAAACGAGCCCTAAACATTCATGATATGTTTCGACCATTCATACTATAGTTTCTTTAACAGGTGTTGGTGTTTACTTGGTTCTGGACTTACTGTGAATCTAAAAATCCATATGGTTCATAGTTTTCATTTATTATTAGTTTGTTACGATCCGGAAGTAATGCTTCAATTACGAAACTCGATCAAAAAATTAATCATTCAGCCCCTCACTCTCTTTTTGTGCGATTTCCAGTGTTTTTCTCTCTACCCACCCACAAGCAACAAGGGTTAAAAAAAAAAAAAAAAAAAAAAAACCGGCTTATCCAACTAATCGTGAGGTCAAAAGCAGGTCGAAACGGGATGTGCTCATTTATCTTTCAAAAGAAAAAAAAAAAAAACGTGATGACAACGATTTCATTTAGTTACCTTCCGAAGAAGGAACAAAAAAAAATGATTTCATTTAGTTCTTTATTTCGTAGATGCGGAACAATTTCAGAAGGAATCCACAATTTCCAATAACACCAAATATTGAAAATAATAAAACTTAGATATCTGAAGTCACAACTCATGGGTAAAATAAAAGAAAGTTCCTCAGCATACCAAACCCATCACACTGGTAATGTCAGCAGCAAGAAAGCAATAATTTGAAAACCATGGGACCAAATTAAAACGGCACATCCATCTATCATTGTATTGATAACGCAACCAAAACAAATGGCACACTGCATCAGATCATTTCAACTTATAGCAATTATGTATTGGGTCTAAATGAAACTAAAAATTACTAGTTTACAAGAATACTAACTACATATATAACACCAAGAACCTTGTCGATAAAATTTAGCAATTACCTGCCCCATTTTTTCAGCACCAAGATGACAATTGAAGAATTGAAATCAGAAATCAAGCACAAAAGATCATGAACCAACCATAACAATAGTGCATGCCCTATCTCCTTTAAAGTGTAAAGCAATGATAATCAAACAAATTACCATGATATGAGATGTGAATACATCCAACATGACAACCCTACACCATGTACATAAGCAGAATGACCAAGTCCATCCGACTTCTCAATTGAGATCTTTCCTATGAGCTTTTCCAGATGTTTATATACGATCCAGAAAGGTCATTGTTCTTTCTTTTACTCCAAAGATTCACCTAAAATATAAAAGCATCTTAATCATTTTAAAACGGAGAAGGGTCAAATTGTAACTTGTAAGCGAACCAAAATAATAGTGTAAATCCTTACCAAAAGCATGATAAGATAAAATAAAATAAAAATTATGAATTGTTTTTCCCCCAGAAGTTTTAACTTGCACAGATTTTTTCATGCAGGAGCATTCCACTGTGGGACTGCAATGCTTGGATGATACCAAAAATTATATAACTTGAGAATAGATTCGTGGAAAACAGCTATTAACCATCCAAACCCTGCTTCATTGGGTTTAAGTGCGGTCACATCACCATCCAATCTTCCTTTCCCAATCAATATTCATCTTGAGCCTAGTCCAGACAAGCAAGCAATGCAATGATCAAGCCAACGAGACTAGATTTCTTTCCTGAGAAAAATGGAGGAAAAGAAAATGAAATGAAATTATGAGCTCCACCTCCACGGCTCTTATTCAGTCATTTTAGTTTCGTACGAAGCAAAACTCAACCCATATATGGTAGTTCTATTAGGATCACTCTAGAGAAGCCTTTGCTTTCTTGGATCCTAAATAACAAAAAACAAAGATTCAAAACTCCAGTTTCGTTAATTTCCTAAACTTAATCGACAGTTACAAAAAGTATAACGAATATAGAAGGGGGTGGGGCTGCCAAGTGCTAGCAGGCTTCTTCTACAGTTGCAAGAGACTCCCTATCAAACATAACGACAAAAATAAGCCACAGATCCTCCAGGAATCAAGTTACCACCTAAACTACCATCAGTGTTGTTGAGCCTGGTGACAAAAAAGCCAATACAAATTCATTTTTTTGTAAGGACATTTTCGGATTTGCTTGAGTTGTAGACATCAATTAGTTCATGTCTTGTATCAAATGTCCTGACATTAAGATATGTATGAATATTTAGAAATTTTCTTTAGAAATATCATAGTAATTTTTCCTTTTTCTACCCACAAAGAACTAATATACGAGGAAATTGCAACTAGTATACATGGTTTTCCATAAGATATAACTCATGGACTCAAATTTTCATTTGCTAAGAGTTAAGGGAAAAACATAAATATTCTACTGGAAATAAAATTATTCCACACCATGTTCCAATTAAATCAATCACATCCACTCTCAAATCATCATGAAGAAGAAACTCAAGTAAAAAAAAAAAGATGAATTAGAAGGATAGGAATAAAAAACCTACTCTAACAAAGCAGGTCTACATATCTCTTTTGAATCTGAACAACAAAGAGCTCAGAACCACTGCTTGTGAACAGCTCTCTTCAACTGAAGGTGCACCTACAGTTCCTAGAAGCCTTAGTCTTTTTAAATTTTTTCCATTTTTTTTGGGGCAAACGCACTTTGCCTCACTAAGGGCTTGAAACCTCAAACTCCCTTTTGGGGAGGTGGAAGTCATACCACCTAGACCAAGGGCCCGGTAATCCTAGAAGCCTATATCTTAAAAGAAGATTTTGAGAAAACATGGAGCCTCATTCTTGTTACCTTGTACCATGTACTGAAGGTATCAAAGTTATTTCAAATCTACGATCTGGTGCAACTGCCGTGTGCCACTTCACTAATTTACTTACTTAAAAAAGATTACCCCCCATATAAAAGATTCCAAACCTTCCACAACATAATCAAATATCAAGGAGAGGGTTGCCAACCAAGTGAAGTGATTCTAAAAGCCCCAATAATCTTTTGTGTGTTATATTGGTCTCAGACTTCCGTTCACACTATTGTAACGTAGCAGCTGCTTGGAACGAGTCTATTCAACAAGTGAGACAACTTCTCTTTGCATTTATTAGAGCCTAGTTTGCTGTAAGCTTCCCTCTGCACCCTTCCTATGATCAAGTTATTTCCCATTCTAGTTTCTATGCTCAAATGTCTATCTTTTCCATCCACTTAAAGATTCAAAGCACACTAGAAGCGAACATATACACACACACACAATTATATTTGAATACAACAGCCCATTTTCCCTACACATGTATTTATCTAAATTTCAATAAATATATTTGAGAGAAAAAATCCAATGAAATTAACAAGTAAAATATATTTCAAAAACTCAATAATCAAATACCAAGGCATTCTTTCCATTGCAATTCGTCAAGCTAAGAAATATAACCACCATGAGCATAAACAAGCATTCCACAGTTAAGAGGAGGGAAAAAAAAAAAAAAAAAAGTAAATTCCAGATTAAAGTATTTCAATTTACTCAATGACCCACCCTAAAATCAGCATCATAAGGTCCATAACCACACCTAACCAAATGCGAAAACACTTACCACTATCTCTACCTCTGAATATTGAGCATAGCTTTGGCTTCAACCTGCTCCTCCAAGAGATCCTCACTTGCATACTTGCTCAAAAGCTCCATCTTCTTCTTCTCAACCACCATCCTCTCAATCTCCTTCTGGTCCGGCAACGGCACGTGCACCACAAACTCGCTCTCCTTCTCCCTCTCCTCAATCTCCTTCGCCATCCTCTCCTCCTCCACCACATCCTCCTCCCCCTCACGCAATATATCCGCCGCATTCACATTCACACTCGCCTCCTCCCCACTCTTCACCGCCCTCTTCGCCTCCCTCTTCACCTCCTCCACTGCCATCCACTCCGCCACCACTGCCGCCCTCATCCTCTCCTCCGCCGGCCCCTCCAGCTTCACCAATATCCCATCCTCATCATCCCTATACCCATAATAACTCGCATCAATCCGCTTATATATATCATACCTCGTCCTCCTCTTCCTCAACTCCGGTGGCTTGTCGAACAATTCCCTCACTCCGGGCAACTTCTTCGCCGCACCAAAGTACCGATACCCCGGTCCACGGCCGCTAGGGTTTGGAACGTCGACGATGTTGCCTTCCAAATCGGTCATCTTGGCAGACTGTTTGGAGTAATTAGGGCCACCGAGCTCGACAATTCGGCGCTCCCAGTGACTCTTTTCGCGGATGAGTTTGTTAATCTCGTCGTTGAGGTCTCGGAGGCGGTGTTCGCCCAAACCCTCGTTCTGGATTTCGGCGACTTTGCGGCCGATCTCGCGCATGATCTGCTGACGCCACTTGTCGGCCTCGGCAAGGTCTCGGCACTCTGAGGCCAAGAAGGGGCGGCGTTCTTTGGGCTTCTTCTTCTCTTCGTTCTTCATGGTGATGAATCGATTGAGCATCGACTGAGCTTTCTCTTCGTTTCGAGCCATCTTTCGGATTGTTGGTGGAGGATGCCGGTCGTCGTTGAGATATGGAGAGAGAAAATAGATGAGAACCGATATCGGTGGGTGATCGCCGAGGAGTGTCAGACTGGTGCGGCGGCTAGGTTTGGCGCCGTTTCGTAGGCGAATGAAACTGGGAACGCAAGTGGAGAACAGATCGTGGGATATAATGAGACTGGAAGCTCGCTCTGTTTGGAACCAAATCTTTTGGTATTTGGATTTAAAATTGGATTGGAATTTCATGGGAATTGGGTGTAGTCATGGGCTTGAGATAGCCGGTTTTTTCATTTTTTAATATTTTCTATTTTAGGGACACTTGTCCCATTGTTTTTGCGCCGGTAAGTACAAAAATCCTACTCAACGGTTAATAGAAAGTTAAAATGGTTAATATGTAAACATGATCTTTCTACTGTAAGTAGAAAAAAAGTGCATGCTTACCTTTTATGTAACGCAAAAATAATGTGACAAGTCTCTCTAAAATAAAAAATAATAAAAATTAAAAAAATTAAATGCTTACTAGATTTTGATCATATTGGGTTTAATTTAAAAATAAAATATACTTGTCAAATTATAATATTATTTTATTGAAGAATTTTAACTTAAAATGATTTTTTTCTAACAAGATTTCCTTCTCATTCACTACAAAAAGAGTAGCGGCCCCGGGGGGTTAGAGGAATTTGAAAATTTTAGGGGGTCATTATTTAAAATTATCATATAAGTATATGTATATAACAAAAATATGTATCTATGTATAATAGGTTAGAGCAACGGCGGGGCACATGCCCCCTCTGGACCTTAATTAGTTACGCACCTATGTGTAATTAGGACACCCATACCTCCATGAAGGCTCGGACCTCGAAGAGGTCAGTTTGTACCAATTGGACTATGGCACATTTGGTAGAAAAAAATAAAAAAAGGAAAAAAAGCTCACAAACATAGTCACAAACAACAATGAGGGATGTTAGCCCTAAGCTCTTTTAATGAATGAGCCTAAAATTTCTGGTTGAGCTCAATTCATTTTAAACAAATTTTGTAGGTTTTGTTTGTTTGAGCTTAAGTTCATTTACAAAAATCGGAAGCACGTTTGGGAATGATGTTGTAAGTATTTTTATTTTTGGCCCGTGTTTCACTACTGTTATGGTTTTGGGCCACGAATAGTTGTCAAAATAAGAAGAAATTTTTTTTTTTGATATTTTGGTTTTGGACCACTGTTCACGAAGTGTTTTAATACTGTGTAAAATAAAATAAGGCCGCACCAAACATACTTTTGTTGCCAAAATCAGTATTGTAGTAGCCCAAAAATAAAAACAATAAAAACAAAATGCATGCCAAACAGGCGCCTAAGAGAATGTCCAGATTTATTTGTTTCTTTTTTCTAACAAAGAACTCCCACAATATTTTTGGAGGGACTTAAATGTTTCATGTTTTAAAGCAGAAGAGATACCACTATGTCACATATCTTGGTTTAAAAAAATTATTTTTTGTAGGCCCCATTTGGTGGAGTTTTCAATTTTTAAAATTCCTTCCATTGAATCGGATTTGACGAAGCTGAAAGGAATTTAAAACTAAAAAATTGTTTGGTGGGTAAATTTTTTGAAACTCTTTTAACTATTAACATAATTTAACTTGACAATTATATCCTTAATAAATCATGAATAATAGCAAAGAGTTGAATTGGGATGTACAAAAAAAGGAAGAAAAAAAAAACCATAATTAAAGTAATTGAGTTAAATTATCAATGATGCACCAACAATTAATTGCCGTAGTGACGTTCTAGGTATACAAATTTAATCCAATCTTCATGCTAGAAGTTTTTTTTTTTCGTTTACTACATGACAGAAGTTGAAAGAGATGGAAAAAGAAAATGAAGGAAAAATAAAATGAATGAGAGATATGGAAGCAAAAATATCTCATTTTTATTCTTATTTATAACTATATCACTTTAACAGCGAACGGGTAACCTTCAATATATATATATATATATATATATATATATATATATATATATATATATATATATACATTATATGTATACAATAGCGTTCAATTTCTCCCTGGTGAGCAGGGAGTAATATACTCACTTGTACTTATAGCCTTAGGATCTAATTGAAACGATAGTTATTTTAGGTAATTGTCTTTCTTTTAATTAGCCAATAATTATTAAATGACTATTGGATACTTTTTTAAAAATAATAATAATAATTTTTTTTAATTTGATTAAACTTTAACTATGTCCCTTTCCACCACTGTCCATCCGTCACCACCACCCACCTCCCCCAACCACACCACAACACTGCCATATCCATCACCCCCATATTGTCACCGACCACCACCACACACACCAATAATTATAAGGACGTCAATTAATTTGTAGATTTGATAATTCTTAGTCAAAATTAGCCACCAAATCTGTCTGGGTGGAGGTGGTGGCGAGGTAGAGGTGATAGTGGCAGTGGGGTGATGACAGTTCATGGTTAAATATTTTTTTTTCTTTAAGAATGTATCAAATATAGTCATTTCATAATTAATGGCTAATTAAAATAATGTTAATTTCCTAAAATAATTATTTTTCCCGGTAGTCGTTAGATTAGATCCTAAGATTATGAGTAAGAGCGAGTATATTGCTCCCTACTCACCAGGGAGCAATTGAACACTACTGTGTATGTGTGTGTGTGTATATATATATACATTTTTGAGGGAGAAATAAAAGTTATTTAGAATTTTACATCAGGTTGAATTTTGGACGAGAGTTCATAAATCTTGGAACTCTTCTGACTTTGAAGTCAAATAGGAGTTAATAGTAATTTTTGCTGCAACTCCTCAATCTATTTGTTCTTCCTTTGTTAAATCGTTTTTCAATAATATTTTTTTTAAATAAAGTTCTGTGAAATTTTGTTCAACATTATTTTTTATTTTTTTGGTTAGAGAACGAACGAAGAAGATGGTACAAAAAGAGAGATAAAATTTGCAATGAAATTCAGAAATAAAAATAGATTAAATAATGGACAATATAGGATTTTCATATTTATTACTTAAAAAAGTGTGTAGCTTGCGGGAAGTCGATCAGGAAGCATGTTTTATTGGTTTTAATCAATCGGACTTCTAAATCACTGAGACTTTTTAAAAGTCCGTTTTCAGAAATTTTACCAAATGCTCTTTATTATTGGTAAAAGACTTTTTAGGCCTTAAAGTCCGTTACGAGGGTACAGGCCCGTAGTCTTTTAAAAATATTTTGCTTTTAGAGGGTTTTCGAAATTGTTTTCAAATAATTAAACAAAGTAAGTCCAATGATTCTTTCCTAATTGTTTCAGCTATCAAATCAAATAATGAAACGAAAATATTTATTTCATTTCTTTTCATTCCATTCTATTCTTTCACACCAGATTGAAACCAGTTAATTACCATAAACAATAGCTTTCTTGTGACCATGATTTATTTCTTCTTGGCTTTAAAAAAGTTGATCCAAATAGTTGAAAATATGTTTTATTCAGCTAAATTTTCTTTTCTTGGGTGTGAAAAATTCACTGAGGGAACAGTTCAAGCAAATGTTAAGAACAATAATATATCTATTTCTAGTGCCTGTCTTTTTGATAGGTCATAAATTTACAACAGAAGAAAGGTAAATCTAATAGAATTACCACTCAAAACTCTTTATCAGGAGAGAAACTACCTTGTGCAATCATAATACATATCTTCAAGGACTGGTTAATCGTAGCAAATGACATAAATAATAAAATATTCCACAAGCAAATGTTAGGTATGTATCCAACCTGACCCTCCCAGATCCCTGGATTCATAAAAACAACACTGGGTAATAATCTTCAGCTTCTACTACTATTTTCTTTTCTTTTTTTCTTTTTTTAAATAACTACAATATCATAGACACTAACAAAATTTCTCTGCATGCTCTAGCCAATGTTGACCACAAGGAGCATTAACTTCCACCACTGCAACTCATTGTGTGAATAAGTTGCTTGATTTTCAGTACCAGTCTCTCCCCTAATCACCTTCTTCATCATCATCACATTCCAACTATTTCCACCGAAGCCAATATCAAACCATGTACGAAATTCGTGCGGATTTTCCGCTTGCTTTTTGTTTTTCTTGCTTCATAAGCCCTATAAATTCCCCAAAAGCTGCATAATAAATACATTGAGTTAGCACTAAGGAGAATAAAATTTCTTTACATGTTCCAGTGACCTAATAATGAACATTAAACATAATATATGAACCGACATAGGACCAAATTTCTTGTTTGCCTTTTGGTAGTTAAGAATTTCCTTCACACAGAGCATACACCAGTGCACGCCAAGCAAAGGGAGAAAAAAAAACACGTTCCACGTATAAATGTTGACCTTAGATTTAAAAATACATGTTTATGTCTACTTTCAAGCATAAAATAGCCCCTAACGTCCTTTTGATCAAGTATTTGGCCAAAGGAAACTGAGAGCCAGCTCACTAAATAAATCTATTAGTAGTTAATGTCTTGCTGAACTGAAAGCCATCATCTTGGCTCCTAGAAAAGCTATAGGAGTCGTACTCCCAGTCATGATCTCGTCTTCTTAGCTGTTCAATAAAAGAAAATTTTAAGATCTACATTTAGGTTTCCATTTTTTGCTTCGGATTTCATTGCAAGACTTTACTCTAATCAGTGAGTGCATCATATCAATAATATGTGACATTTGATGGTGCATATGTATGTGTACACGTAAAAAGAGCCCCATTACCAGGATCCGAATCATGAGGTCCTGGAGATGCTTCAGGGTGGTACTGAAGAGACATGAGCTTTAGTTGAGGGAACGCAAGACCAGCACAGCTTCCATCATTGAGATTGACATGGGTAACTTCCACACCCTCGGGAAGTGATGTAGGGTCAACAGCATAGTTGTGATTCTGCCACAAAAAAATGAATAGTTGGACATCTCACTGAATTTCAAGAAATTATGTGCGGTACATTCAAGATTTTACTATAAATGTATGTCAATATGAAGGTAGAAAAAAGGAGAATGTCAAAAGAAGCTTCAGATTATTGGAATCAAGAGGGTAAACCAGGAAGAAACCATATAAATGTGTCTGTAACTTGGCAAGTTTTTCTTTTCTTTTCTTTCTTCTTCTTCTTCTCTTTATTTTTTTTTTTTTTTTCCTTCCTTTTTTTTTTTTTTGGGGAGAGAGTCCAAAGAAAAGAATTTGCCCAAAACAAATTAACAAACTGTAAGATTATTTAAAACCTTGTAGTTGAGTATACATACACACAGACTAAATTGAATAAAGCGTATGTCAAGCATATATATTTCTTAGAAAAAAGTTTTAGTTTAACAAAAAGTCACATTTGCCAAAATTCATAATCAACAAGAAGTCGGACACATGATATTCAGACATGGGCATGGGATACTGGTCAGTAGTAAGATAAGCCATGTTACATGCGCTCTTGAAAATAAGTGTGAAGTACCCGAGTCGGACACATGAATACTCAGACATGCGTATTGGATTTATGTCCAAAAAGTATGGTTGGGCTTGCATCTACAATAATTCAAGTTTATTAGACGTTTGTACTTGAATGTCTTCTATTAGGTTCCTTCTGATGCATCATTGCTTTAAAACAAGGGGGGTGAAAAACAAAAAACAAGAACAAAAACAAAAACAATATTTTTTCTAGAATATAAACAAAAATTATATAATAATATGACTATGAATATTTGAATATGTTAGTGTGATGATGTCTTTTGGTTTGGAGATTTCACTAATCAAAAGCTTAGACAAACACCTGACCCAACACTCATACCCAAGCCATTGTAACATAGCCCACAAGTGCAAAAAAATGGTAACATACATATAATTGTTTATATAAATATACATTTTTTTATAATCACATAATTTGTTCTAGTCATCATCAACAACAACAACAACAAAAAAAAGAGAACCTAAAATGATGGTAATAACAAAAATAGTGATTTCTAATTATTTTTCAAGTTAAAGAAACCATTAAAGAATTATAGACTCACACAAAAGAAGATTAAGAAAAGAATCTGAAAGACGTAGTGAGAATGCAAGAAAGATGACGACAGTGATGATGTGATATAATTGTTTATATAAATATACATTTTTTTATAATCACATAATTTGTTCTAGTCATCATCAACAACAACAACAACAACAAAAAAGAGAACCTAAAATGATGGTAATAACAAAAATAGTGATTTCTAATTATTTTTCAAGTTAAAGAAACCATTAAAGAATTATAGACTCGCACAAAAGAAGATTAAGAAAAGAATCTGAAAGACGTAGTGAGAATGCAAGAAAGATGACGACAGTGATGATGTGATATAATTGTTTATATAAATATACATTTTTTTATAATCACATAATTTGTTCTAGTCATCATCAACAACAACAACAACAACAAAAAAGAGAACCTAAAATGATGGTAATAACAAAAATAGTGATTTCTATTTATTTTTCAAGTTAAAGAAACCATTAAAGAATTATAGACTCACACAAAAGAAGATTAAGAAAAGAATCTGAAAGACGTAGTGAGAATGCAAGAAAGATGACGACAGTGATGATGTGATATAATTGTTTATATAAATATACATTTTTTTATAATCACATAATTTGTTCTAGTCATCATCAACAACAACAACAACAACAAAAAAGAGAACCTAAAATGATGGTAATAACAAAAATAGTGATTTCTAATTATTTTTCAAGTTAAAGAAACCATTAAAGAATTATAGACTCACGCAAAAGAAGATTAAGAAAAGAATCTGAAAGACATAGTGAGAATGCAAGAAAGATGACGACAGTGATGATGTGATAGCAAAGGACTGAGGGCTCTCCCTTCCTTTTTAAGGTCTGTCTTTCCTGGTGGCCTGACTACCAGGTTCTCACCAAAGAGAGCACCAAATAAAAATAAAAAATAAAAAGCCCTAATCTAATGAGATGTCTACTGGAAAGAAGAAGAAAAAGGACCACCCTTCGTTACCAAAGTTCTAATAAAACCCAAATTAAAGATGCAACGATATCAACAACATTTGAGAAAATTGTAGCATCATATATAAATTTCTTCTGATTTAATTAACAATTAGGAAACTATGCTAGAATAGGATATGGAATTATTGTTGGAAATTTAAAACATTTGTTGAAGCAGTCTTTAAATATTGAAGGGGTTGATTCAAGAAATACAACTGGTTTGGTGGTGGTAGTAGGGAGAGGTCCCCCATTCCATGGTCTCTGCCTGGAGGAATCTCGGACTTGTGCATGGATATATACATATATATATTCCCTGGCAAAGAAGGATGCATAGATGAAATCATAAAATTGTATAAATAGAGTTTCTCAAGTAAACACACCTGAGCACTGATCTCAACAGTGTTCTTCCTAATGTTACGGACCGGATGATTTCCTCCATGGTGACCAAATTTCATTTTAAAGGTTTTACCACCCAATGCCTGACCAAGCAACTGATGCCCCATGCAAATTCCAAAAACAGGAACCTTTCCAATTATATTCTTGACTGTTTCAACAGCGTAAGGAACAGCAGATGGATCTCCTGGGCCATTGCTGAATATGACTCCATCCGGCTTCATCTTTAGAGTCTCTGATGCTGGCCATGTTGAAGGGACAACAGTGATTTTACATCCATAGGATGCCAAACGCCTCAGTATATTATACTTGATACCGAAATCATATGCAATAACCTTTATTCAAGCACAAATAAGGATGGGTGAATTCCCAAATTGTAAGTATATTTCTTGTAGTTCCAATACAAAATCAACAAAATAATACTAACATGGAAAGTCTCTCCATCTCTCTCCTTAGAATTAAAATCCCACTCTGGATCTGTTTTATCACTCCAGCCATAAGGGGCTTTGCAGGAGACACCACTTATTAAGTCCACACCTGTAATATTACCGCAAGAAAAACAAGGATGACTATTCTCTACAGTGTACTAAATTTCCAAATACCCTAACAAGCTGGAACAAATCCTTACCAACAATGTCCCAAGTACGAGACATTTCCAAAAGTTCGTCGTCTGATTTGGCTTCTTCTGTGCTGAGTACACCTATAAGGCTTCCATCTTGTCTTATTCGCCGGGTAATTGCACGAGTATCAACATCATCTATTGCATAATGGAACAGCAATGAGCCAAGGGAAGGTCAGAAGCTATTCACAGGCTAAAGTTACAAATACACCAATGATTTCTTTGAAGTAAAGCATTCTCTATGATGCAAATTATAACTCACATATCCCCATAATGTTCCTTTCTGCTAAATAATCACCAAGTGTTTTTGTGCATCTCCAATTTGAAGTACTGAAAGACATTCGGATACATAAAAATATTTGCAATTCTAAAAAGATTCAACTGGAAAACAAGCACATTAATAAAGCCACATGGATGGAAGCAACATACCTGATACTTAAACTTCTGATTACCAAACCACCAAGGAAGCACTGTCTAGATTCTTCATCATCTGATATGCAAGGCAACCTAATTTAGATTCCACATAGTTTGCAACACATAACTTGTAAAACTATGAATGAAAATTATTTACCCACCAAAATTAACACCGGTATTGCCAATATGTGGGTTTGTCATCAAGACAAACTGGCCAGCATAACTGGGGTCTGTAAGAATCTCTTGATACCTGCAGTATGAAACAATAAATCATACATGATATATGATCAGGCAAAACCTGTCAACTCATCAAGCCTTTTTTTTTGTTCACCTCTATCTCCCAGTAAATGTAAACTTTTGGTGGACACAGCTGGTATGTTTTCTTCGCTGTAGTATTAATGGTTTTCCTTTCTACTGGAAGAAAGAAACAAACGAATAAAATAATCACCAAACCAAATTTTATCCCCACTGAACCAGCAGGATCAGTTTGGTAACTTTGGTTCCCATATTCTTGAGCTGTTGATAGTTATAAAGTTCCCTGATGAAGCACAAACGACTCTAATGCTCCGTTTGGTTGGAGGGATGGAAAAATGAATGGAAGGGAGAAGGGGAGAGATGGATGAGGCATCCCTAGGGACGTGAAGGTGTCTCCCTCACTTTTTGTTTCGTTGGATGGAATGGATAGTAGAAAGGATAGATAGAGTGACACTTTTTTTTTTTTGTTTGGTTGGAAGGAAGGGAAAGAGAGTTTTTAATTTTTTTTCACTGTTATACCCTTATTAATGAGTAGGGTTTTAAAAAATAAACTTTTAGGAAGGTTAAAAATGGAAATTATATTTTGTTGGTTATTATCATTCTTTCTCTCTCCTCTTCCCCCCAATTTTGGGCGGATAGAAAAGTACAAAGGAAGGAGGGATACAACATCCCTCCTTGTTTCCCCCCTCTTCCCTTCCCTCAAATCAAACACAATTTTTTTTTTTTATCCCCCCTCTCATCCTTCCCTCCAACCAAACATACGTTAAGTCAAAAAAAAAATAAAAAATTAAAAAATAAAAATAAAAAATTCGGAGGCAGAAGTGCATAAATTGAATGGTGCAGGTTGCATTATAGAGCAGGATTTATGTGCAACCTAACACAACAACTCTACAAGATATCAGCTGCACAGGGAGGAACCATGACACAACTCTACAAGATATTAGCCGCGCAGAGAGGAACCATATGGAATAGGTTTCAAAATGACTTGTATTAAAAATACACCTATAGAATTGCACTGTCTTAATTAATAGGAAGGCTTGATTACATTTTAGTTTTTCTTCTTTAGGTCTTAAACTTCTTAATAATATAAAATAGTTTTACCAAACACCCTTGCTACCCAAGCGAACATGAGCAGAATCCACAACCAGGAATATGTTTCACTTCCGCTCTACATTACAATATTAGCAACCTCTTCCTATTTGCCTCCTTATATTTCTCTTCTATAGAACAAGAAGAGAATCTTAACTGAAACTTGATAGAGCATAGAACCCCTGACCCCATACCTTTTTACATTTACTTATTCAATTCTTTTTTTATTTATATTCTTTTGAGCAGGGAACAGATCTAACCCAGCTGCTGAAATTAACAGAAAACATGGGCATTTTTAATATATGTTTTCTTGATCATCTTCCATTCTTCCTTAATAAAAATAAATATAATATCTATTTTGTTCAAACTAGCTCATCACATATCAACTCCTGAGTAAGTGATATAACAAACCTACTCCCAACATATTATTAAACACTTGCCAACATGACCCATGCAACTGCATGCACTCAATACCAGCTTTGGCACTTAATAAACAAGGCCAACTTTATTTTTAGTAAATGTGACCAATATGCTAACATTTATATTGTAATCCTATGAAATTAACCACTCTCTCCATTATTTGATAGCTTATGATGCATTAATGCCCAGACACAAATGTTATATGTGCTTGTGATAAGGCCAACCTTTTCATTATACTATGTCTGTATCTCCAGCTTAAGACATTTGAGTGACTAACACCTCACATCCATGTCGGCATGTCCTATTGCAATAATCATGCACTAGTCCTCATATCATATGCAGCATGTCACACTGGCTGAACGCAATCACAGGTGCAATGTGCACGACACGATGTCTCACAGATGGTAACATAATTTTTTTCAGATCAGAACATAAACCACAAATAACTGATGGATTATAGAGACAAGTTTCCGGAGGGATCTCAATATATTCAGAATAAAATATGCCAACATTGTCTAAGGATTCCAATTAACATGGGAAGTCAATGAAAGAATAAGCTGTGGTCAATTTAGAATCCATAGTGTATAAAATCAAATAAGAAGAGCATTAGACACTCAAACAATGAAAATGCCAATATCCCAGCTGGGCCATCTCCACCCCTTTTTTGGTCTTACATGGAGAACAGAACACAAAATTATGATATGAAGAGAAGAATTTAAGTTCACGAATTATACATATAAAGCAACTAAAATCATCTCACCCCGTTAAAGATGTATTGAAAACCACTTCACCAACTTGGGTTCCAGAAGCACCAAATGATTTCGCCCTCCAAATAGAACCATCTTCCAGGACAAGTCTGGCATCTGCTAACTTCCAAGGTCTTTCCCCCAAACCTAAGGCTCATCCAGAAAACTTTGTATCAACACAAAGAGATGGAGAGAGCCAAGGAGATCAAAACTAAAATTGCAAAAAAGAACCATGTATCTGCAAGAAGAATCAAACACTGCACTACCACTTATCTAATAACAGAAATAAAGAGATAAAGTCATTAAGTAATGAACACACTAGCTTCCTCTGCCATGAAGTGGCATAGAGCTGATGTGTAAGGATGCAATTTTTATGCAAAGCATGCCTAAGATGATTTGTGGCAGCCACATTTCCGTTCTTAAAGGAACCCAAATCAAAACCAATTATTACAAACTGTCCAAAGGAATGAAAAGCAGGTCATGTAGCTGAAATATGCTCTGCTGGACTAGATCACCCTAAGTTTGATGCATCAAATGGTATAAGAATCCAATGAATGTGAGACATGCAACAGAGGTAGGAAAGATGACTCCCATTTATTTGATCCCTAGTGGAAGATAACATTTAGTTTTTTATCCTTAACATAAGAAACCCCATATGCCAATGTCACAATGATGAAGATACTCTGTTAAAGTTCAACAATATAAAACTAAATCAAAACCTTAGGTAACATGTTACCTACTCCCCAATCTAGACTGCTCAACTAGTGGCTTACCAGTTATGTATCTTATTCAACTAAGTATAACATTGAAATCAAACTAAAATCTGCAATGTCTAAAATCCATCACGATCAGTGAATAAGCATATCACGTTTATTTTTCATATAACCCATGTCATTAGGTATCCCCTTTAGATTCTTGCTTATAATAAGCACCCAAGCAATTAGTAATTTATCTTTGTTTCCCAAGTTGCTTTGACACCATGATGTACTAAATGTTACCACAGATTTTGATTTTCTGAATGTTGAATCACCTGTACATTTGCACACAAATATCTCTTAATTACATTTGTAAGAGATACATGAAAATAAAAGCAAACACGGGTAACAGATAACCTAAATATTATTTAAAAAAAAAAAAAAAAAAAAAAAAAAACAGTTCCATCCTTGACTCTTAAAAATTGGGGCAGGTATTAGAGTTCCAGACCTGGTCTCTGGCCATGCCTCATATCTCCTCTCTGCTCAGGCCACGGAAACATTTCATGCTCCTCAGTGGGGTTTATCTCATGATATTTATCATGTTAGCAGACATAGTGACTCAAACCTTCCTATATCTCTGGTGACAATGGACACTTCTCTATCAGCCCTTATGCACAGTTGTATTTGATAGAGGTGCCATTTACACTTGATCTCCCTTGTGCCAGTCTTAATCAACTGAATCTGTTGTCTGTATAGTTGTTGCCTGTAATATATGGTGTGCCTTGCCTCCTTCCCTTTTTCTTTTTTGACTTTTTGTGGCTATTTGTACTACTGTATTCCTTGTTTTATAGCAATGGAGTTCTTCTTATATGTGTATGCGTGTACAACTATATATATCTATATATAAACTGTGGCGGTCCAACATTCCAAAAAAATGCAAATATTAGAGGCAAAAAGAATACAGCTCAACAAAGTCTTTTTCCAACTATTTGAGATAGCTGCATGAATCTTATTTTGTCGCTCTACTCTATATAGGGTCTAGTCTCAATTAAACCACAAATATTTGTTTATGTTCATTTGACATTTTTTCATTGGCCAAAAGAACAAAACGTTTTAAAAAACACAAGAAGCAAAACCCAAATAGCTCCCTACTTTCTAGGACATGCCTTCGTGGAAGGAATAGGTATATAGACTCCATTAGATTCCTACTCTTTTTTCAGTTGCAAAATCAATTCAACAATTATATTACATTTAATTCAGAAATGAGGGGGAATTTTTTTTTTTTTTTAAAAGAAAAAAAAAAAAAAAAAATTAGTTAAAAGAAAAAAGAGGAAAATAACAACAAAAAAATATGTGGATCATAAAAAATAAAAAGAAAACAATCATTTGAAAATTGAAACAGTAAAGAAAAAAACCTAAATTGCAAACCACCAGGCCCTAAGTCTTTGAGAGATGCCAAGCTACAAGGCAACACAGAATAGGTGATCAATTATACAGTTATCAACTGTTCTTGTTTTGTAGCACAGTCAGCTCAAACTGAACATTCCATTCAATTTCCAATATCATGAGCCAATCAATTTACTCTCAGCTCCTTTAATTTCAACTCTTAGTTTCCACAATAAATGAAGTGCAAATTTCATATTTTTGAGCCCCTTGTTTCTTGATGAGTAATTACAGTTAACTTGAGGAAAATTATTACACAGCTCCAATTAACTTTAAATATCAGTACACCTGAAATTCACTCTTGCCTAAAAAAATTTCTCAATATAAGCAAATGGAGGTTTCACTTCATTGATTACACGAATTCTAGATACAAAAGCAATAACAATATATCATACAGATAAAGAAAGCATTTTTACTGAGGAAATTATGGAGAATAAATTAATATTCCTTCAAACTATTGCTCTATAAGCACAAACACCAGGGAGAGAAAGAGGTGTACTAAATATATACACATATTCAGAGAAATTAACAAATGAAGTAATGAATCCATACATTTATATAGTTATATACACACACGAGAGATAGAGAGAGTGAGGAAAAGGTGTGTGAGTGTTACCAAGGGCAGCACCGTCCATGGAGGGAGAAGCAGAGTAGCACCTGACGTTTGAAACCCTAAATTTGGGTGATTTCGAAGCGATGCCAGTTGATACGATGCCAGTTGATAATGGATGATTTCTCACCCAAAAATCCATGGCTTTGGTCGCCATCTTCGCTTTGCTCACTCTCTCAACTTGGCTTTTGGAGGTTTGGTTTCTGAGACGCAGGGCATAACATATGTACGACGACCTATATGAACTGAGAGTGGTGATGTTAATATGTTATCACGTGTCAAACTCACGTGATCATTATATATATATATTTAAGTTTGTAAAAATAATAATAATTCAATTTAGGTGTTCTCTCTTTATTAGTGAGGTATTTCACAAAAAAAAAATAAAAATAAGTTATATTTAAATTTGCTTTACTAAAGAAATGATTTGATCACTCGTAAAGATTATAAAATAATTGATTTTCTTTACTTTTTTTTTTTTTTTTTTCAAATCAAAAGGAAACTACAAGACAGGGCGAAGAGAACCCGAACAAACAAAAGAAAGATCTTCCTGAATGGCATGAAGAAGCCATGAAGGCCAAATAGACCAATGCAGGTAGCCACATTTATGGGCCAGCGCCCATTGACTAATTTTATGACAAACACCGTTGCAGTGACGAGGGATCCAACTTAAGGACCAGCGAGGATGTGAATAGCAGATAAGTTGGATTTTTTCCATGACCATAACTGAGATGGGGGAAGAAGGGGAATTGCGCATCACATTTAAACAATCATCCTCAACAATACAAAATTCATATCCCCAAAAGGATAAAAAATGGAGGCTTTCTTTAAGAACCAAAGCTTCTGTTACTTCCGGAGATGAAACCCTATAATGAAAAAAGATGCCACACGTATTGGCCGACCTTCATCATCTCTGAGAATGAGGCCACCCCCAACCTCTTTAGAGTTGCTACAAAAGGCTATATCAAAATTAAGTTTAAACATTCCAGTAGGGGGAGCACACCAACTCTGAGGTCTAGAATTAGAAATCATTGTTAGTTGAAGACGCCCATCAAGGTAAAAAAAGTGAAAAAAATCAGAAAAATTATGGAGAGCTCGTTCAAGAATGTGAGCCGGATCCCACTTAACAGAACTAAAAATCAAATCATTCATGCTCTTCCAGATTTGCCAACAAATAAAAGCTGCTAAACTGAAATGCTTGCCAGAATGAGGAAGAGACTTCCAGCTTACAGACAAGGAGGACCAAAGATGATTCCATGATTTAAAATTTGAATTGGAAAAATCCAATATGAGAGAGCTAAGTTTCCAGACAATTTGGGAAGATGGGCACAGAAAGATGAGATGTAAAACAAAATCCACGTCCCTATCACATACTCTACGTATAGGATCGTAAAAAATCCTCCATTTTCTCAAATTCAGCCTGTTGGAAGTTTATCATGAGCACATTGCCAAAAAAAGAACTTGATTTTCCTCTATGTTTGAATGGACCATAAATCCTTCCAAAGTGTTTTAAATTCTTGAATGTGACTGCTCTCCGGTTTATCCATTGAAAGGATATGAGGAGGATTTAAGCTTTCAATTAATTTGTAGGCCGATTTTATAGTAAAGGATCTAGTTGATGTACCATTCCAAACTTTAAAGTCGGAAAGCCTAGAAGACCTCAGAAGAATTTGAAGGATAAGATTGGCATCTTTGTCATTAAAAAACCTTGTGATCAGAGAAAGATTCCACAATTTCAACTCGTGAAAAATTAAGTCAAAGACTCTACTAATCGGGCATAATGGGGGACGTTGTGAGGAAATAAAAGGGTTCTTAGGATCAGGCAACCATGGGTTCGTCCAAATATCAACATTAGTCCCAACAACCACCCTCTACCCCCAACCAAGAGCAATAACCTCTCTAACTGAGCATATTCCTTTCCAAGCCCAAAAAGATGAAGGTTTACAGACTGATGACAAAAAGGAACACGAGTTAAAATAACGAGCTTTAAAAACTGAAAAGAGGAAGGAATTCTCTTCAATATGAAATTTCCAAGCGATTTTTGAGAGCAGAGCTGCATTGAACCATTCAAGATTTTTAAAATTCAACCCACCATGACATTTAGGATTGCATAAGGTAGACCAACGAATCCATTTGATCTTTGACGTCTCCCATTATGCCCGATTAATAGTTTTAAACTTATTAATAAAATAATGGGCAAAGTACATAGACACCTCCTGAGGTTTGTCAAAAGGATACCTAAATGAAAGTTTACCTATTTTGGGACAATCACACCCCATGATGAAATTTATCATCCAAACAGAACCTAAAACATGTGAAAAGTCCATTTTACCCTTTATTATTTTATTAATTTTAATTATAAAATATCAAAATATTTAAATGACCAAATTACCCTCAGCACTCATTCAATCCTATAACCTTACAATCGCAACCATCCCCACCCCCAAACCACCACCACCATCTCCACCCCCAACGACTATGATTGACTTGGGCTTGATCCTAAGCCAACCAGCTAAAGAGGTAGATGATCCTAAGGGACCACCATAAATTACCTTTCATCTATCTTTAAATTTTTTGTATGAAAGAGTTAACGTTTAGCCGACATGTATTAAAAGAGATGATTGGAAATAAAAAGAAATGAAGAAAGAGTTCAGTGTCCGATGATGAATTGAATAAGTATTTAATTTATTTAGTATTAAAAATAAAATTAATTGAGTTACTAAGCAACACTTTGAGGCATAGAGTCAGCATTGTTGTAATAAACAATATCCACATGTTATTAAAATTAAATGTGTGCGCGCGCGCGTGTGTATATATATATATATATATATATATATATATATATGATATTTTTATGTTGAAATTTTAAATAGTTTTGAATAATTATTTTTATCATAAAAGGAAGAACATTTTATATTTAAAAAATTGTATTTTAAGTTTTACATTTGGAATTGAAAATATTTTTCTTAAAATTTGAATTATTGATTAAAAGTTATTCTTTTTTCAATAAATTAACATTTAAAGTTTCTTTGAACTTCAGATATCGTTAGTTTTTTTTTGATAAATTATACTGATTTCATATAAAGTTTTGTCAATATAAATTAATCTCCCTCTTTTTAATTTTAAAAAATAAATATTTAATAAATAAAAAATTTATTTTAAGTTTTACATTTGAATTTGAAAATATTTTTCTTAAATTGATGAATTATTGATTAAAAGTCTTATTTTTCAATAAATTAGCATTTAAAGTTTCTTTGAACTTCAGATAACATTAGTTTCTTGGGTAAATTACACTGACTTCCTGAAATTTTATCAAATATACATTAATCTCACATCTTGTTTGTCAAATTGCATTAACTTCCTCTGGTAGACTTGTCGAATTTATAATTACTCGTACTTTTTTGTCCTTATACATATATATTATATTTTATTGCAACAAACATGTTAGATTGAAATTTGAAAGTTACAAAATTGTTAACAATAACATTTTTCATCATTGATTATTAACGAATGGGAGGTATATATTATTTATATACAGATTTTAAGAAAAGTAAATGTAATTTGACAAATAAGGAAGACGTTTACGAAATAGGGAGTCCAGTGTAATTTATTCTAGTTTCTTTTTAAAATTCTCAAGAGGATATCCCCACCCTTTGGAAAGAACTAATCCAGTATATATGCCTACAAAATTAGGGGTTTTGTTCAAACGGGGTGCAAAATATTATTCAGTATATTCTTGTTCAACCTTCTCTTTTAAATTTCTGCAGCTCTGTCTCTCGTTAAACTCTTTCTCCCTTCTGATAAGCACCGAATATTGCATATTTAAGCGTCCTTATTTGCATTAGTTAAGTCTATTAGTTAGTTTTATTGTATAGGTTATCTTCATTTGCATGTCTTTGTTTATTTTCAGGTTTGTTTCCCAAAAAGGAATAAGAATAATGTTTTGATGAGTTCTCGAAGATTAAAGCATGCCGGGCTGGGGATATACTGTTTTGCGGAGCTAATTTTTGCCATTGAACTCAGGGCATTATCTGCATCGTGCTAAGAAGGAAGTTAACGTCATCGGGTCGAGCCAAAAGACAATTTTAGAGAGGTGTTTTGTGCCCAAGAGCATTGCGGGCGCCCGCCAGCCTCATGCACAATTCCTACGGGTGCTCGTCATTTTGTGATCATTGGATTTAAATTCCAAAGTTAGAAAAAATTACATTCCAGTAGGTTTCAAATTTGGCGGGGCCCCGCCATGCACTGCAGGCCCCCGCTATTGGCCATCAGTAGAGCCAAGTGCCCCCTTGCCAGCTCGTGGAAACCAGCTGTGACACCCTGCAGGCCCCTGCCAAGTTATAGACAGCGGGTTACTAACTCTATTGTTTTGCTCAAAGTTGTCCCCTTGACTAAATGAATGGCTCCACTCTTTTATAGGGATTATGAGCCACGAATTTAGAGTTGTTGGGAGGATATAGTTGCTTATTAGAGGCTTGAAGCATTGGATTAGAATGATCTCACATTGTAAGGATTTCTAGAGAGAGAAATATTATTCTTAAGAGCTTTGGGTTGGAGCTTGCCTCTAGGTGCGAAAATGGAGGGGCTGATCCTCTCAATCTCCCCCTCCCTTACTTCTATGGGTAACTAACTCCCTTTCTAGGGAGGTGAGGAATCCCTTCTTTGTAAGCATGTTTTAGTTTTGTTTAATTTGGGGAATAAAGTGTGTATATAGTATTTTCATAATCTAGAGCACTTTACATGTTGTAATGGATCTTAAATTCTATAAATGATCATGTTGAATCTATTATCTTGTCTTAGATCTTATTTTCTCATGATTGTATGGCTTGCATTTTCATAGTGAGAATGGAAATGAGATCATGAAATGGCTTTTAATAGCATGTTGTTTGAGAAGTTTGATAGTCCATAGCTTAGGGCCTCCCTTTGATGGATTATTCTTGGTTCTTGATTTCATGTGCTATTACCATAGTTAGTGAAGGGTTTGATAGTCCCTAGTTTAGTAAGCATGTTATAGCTACACTCTAATTTAGGTAGTTCAAGCATGTGGAACTTTGAGGAATTATACATTATTCTTGACTTTATGAACTTCTTGAAGATAATGTAGCAATCTTGTATTGCTACATATCATTGCCATGTACTTAAGTTGTTTCCCAAATTAATCACAAGCTAGCATGTTTGTAGGGTTGGTAATTGATTCACTTCCCTAGTCTTCTCTACATAAGTTCTCTCCT